CTGCGAGCGGCTGCAAGGAATACTGGTCACACTGGTCTGGAGGGCTGGCTCGTCTTCGTGGATTTACGAGAAGATAAGGGATTTCGGGATAGGGGTAAGAACTCCTCGGTCTCAGGTCCTGTAAGAGTAGAGGTTATGGGCTTACTTTTGAAGCCGGAGATATGTATAACGCAGAATTCTCGTGTTCTCCTAGTCTCTAGTGAGTCGGACGAAGGAACATTAAAAAAAAACCATATTAGAGTCAACAATATATTGAATCTACCCTGAAGTTCCTAATACAATCGTTAACACGTTATTCTGCGCGTCGGGAGACGATGTAGCAAGATAGTGAAAAGTTGACAGAGGTACAAATATAATTACACAGGTTAGTATAAGAAATCTGTTACCTTATGTGTATATTAGGGCTTCAACCACGACACGTTCAGTCTTCTGGAACTCGGTCAGTTGAGGTTGCGAACTTTCGAGCTGCCACAATAACCGGACTACACGCGAATTCTGACAGAAGATACCCGGCCCCCGGAAAATCACCGACTGTCTCGCGTACTGGACGCTATCGCGTCCGGCGATCACTGCCCTGGGCGGGCAGTTACGGCGCCCCCGTTATCACTACTGCTCGACTGACTACTAACTACTGACTACTCATTACTAACTGCCCGGCGTCCGTCGTTTCTTCTTGTTTTATTGTGGTCGTACTTTCAACGCCGGTTCTAGTACCAAGGTCGTAGGTTCGCTGAGTTGCAGTTTTGGTATTATTGCTGCCTATTTGGGTCACGGATGTTTCGTGCTTTTTTATACGTTTAAACAATTATCAAACAATGCAATAACTAGGTCAATTGTTATACTTTGTATAATTTAAATGTATAAGTTAACTGTATTAATTATCCCTTATTTAATTTGGAATATATAATAATTATCTCGAATAATTATTATCTTTTCTATGCTACTTATTATTCCATTATCCCTTTATTCCAACTTCTCACTCACTTGCTACGCTTACATTACATTACTCCCTACGCAAAAAAAGAAAAGGGCCGAGGGGCCTTTTCCTTTTCCAACAATAAAATTATCTATTTACATATTATATTACTTATAATCTACCATATATATTTTTTATATAAGTCCCAATTTATATTTTATCATTTACTGTTTCTTATAGACTATTGTACCGTGGTCAGCGAATGTATCGTGCTGCCCCCGTATTGAACCTATGTGTATGACAAGTTGAGTTAATCTTGTATTAATCTTATAGAAACTTTACAAGTGAAAGAACTTTCCTAACTTATTACAATTGTTTGTGATTACATGTGTCCATTATGACAAGCGTATTCTAACTGTTCTATACGATTGTACTCGCGTTTGCGCTCACTTTATCGCGTATCCCTGTGGGAATTATCCGCACTTCACTCGCGTCGTCTTGGCTGTTTTAATGTCCGTTTGCCAATTCCACGTGTCGAGTTAACTATATTGATGCGTTACTGCTGCTGTCTGCCTCCGTTGGTTTGTCCTTGCTGGGTGGTCGTCTTAGGTTGATACTGCTTTGCTTTGTCGCATTATACTTCTGCTACATTGGTCTCTGGTATGTGTTTGCTGCATGTGTACCCTGGCCTGTTCTGCATGAGTTGACTGACGGCGTTAGGTAAGGATGGGGCCATTAGTAATCTGTTTTTTTTTCTTTTAAATTTTCCTCTTTGTTTGGCATCGTCGCAGTACTGTGTCTAAGTGTCTAAGTATAGCTTTTCTTTTTCTCTTTGGTAGGATTTTCGGTATAAAGGAATTTTCTATTGATGTAGGTTATCAGGTCTACGTTTTTGGGGTAGGAGTGGCATACTAGGATTTATTTTGTGTTTACTAGGAAATTTATTAGGGTTCGGCGGTGTTCAGTTTGCCATACTTCTGTGTTACATATTATAGCCCTTTTCTGTAGCATTAGAGCAAATATGTTTTTATCTTGTTCTACTATTACCAATTCTTCTCGTGATTGTTTATTAGTGACCTTTTCAACGTGCCCTCTGTAAAGTTGTGACAATTGACTTTCACAACTGTTGTCTTTGTATTGTTCCCAGGTTATTTCGCCTATTGTAGAGTCGAAGCAACAGCCGTTGATGAATGAGCATGTTACTCCTTCTCGTAGGTGGATTTCGTTGTCGTCTTCTCGTAGAGTTGTATCGATCGGTAGCGGTGTATATTTCAGCATTCTTCTGCTCCAATCTTCTTGATGTAGCTGTCTAGTCCTCCATCGACTATGGACGTGTGGCTGTACATCAAACAGTGAAACATGAGTCTCTCCATCGTGATGAGTCTCTCCAGTGTCACAAATCGCACTGTTATTACTTCCCGAACGGTCGCACTCCCGTAAGCAGACTTTAGCTCGCATTAGTACTTTTTACGCGTAGTTCAAATGCACTTTAACCTATAAATACATGTATAGCTGCTTATTGCAGACAATTATAGCGATAGCTTTACATAAATCTGACTTATAAACTAACCTACATTGTATTGCATATTAGTATGCCTATTCATTCTAAATTGATAAATAATTGATATCTAAACCAATATTAATATGTTAATAATTGGGACTTGTACTTTTTAACTATTTACAATAATATATCATCTTTCTGTTATATATACACCCTGTATATTAGAGTCATATATTTTTAATTCTCAACTTGTCATCACTTATTGTATATAGTTACGTATGTGTAACGAATTTTCCTTATTTGAAAAATATTTTAATTACTATATTTACTCTTAATAAAGTGTCAGAAATTTTTGTAATATTTCTCACTCTTTCCCAAATCTTTTTAAAATAATTCAAAGGTGAAATTTATTTTGATTTCTCGTCAAACACAATGACCTGTTTTCAGTGTTATGATATTTATGTTTCAAGGCTATTAAATTACATTTTGCTGAGTGGCTAATTTTTATATACTCACATTGTTGATGAAATTTGATACTGACTGATATAATGAACTCTTGGTGTCTGTTATAAACTACAATATTTATTTTTATTTAATTAAAAAAAAATGTTTTCTACACTTGACCTGTATTAGTTGTTTATTTACCAGTGCTCTGACTCAATCTTTATACTACTTTGTTAGTTGATAGGAATTCAAGTCTGTCAATCAGTTTTGACATAGCAATAAAGGATTGGCGTATGGTATCTTACCGATCCCGCTCTTACTAATCAACAGCAGCTTAGACCCCTATTAACTTTAAATTAATTTACTTATTTCTCTTTCTTAAAGCTTTCTTTTAGTTATAATGTACTATTATGTTTTCAAAAAAAAATTATTTTTATTGAACTGTGCTAATATTTAACTATGAATGCTTATATTACCTGTGTTTTGTCCTTCGTTCCTTGTTATTGGCGGATTTTCTTACCTATTAACATTGTGTACTACTGTTGGGCAAAAGTTTATTTATAATGAACACATCAGATGAGCGAGATAATAAGCTGAATATATTACGTTAACAATATATATTTTTTTTTTTTTTTTACTTTTAACTTATACTTGTAATGGTATATCTTTAAATCGGATTTCTACTTTATTGAGTTCCTTGTTAAAATTTTAGTATTATTCGAGCGGCCGTCTCTTGTAATACCAAGCTTTCAACTTTTCTTATAATTGTTTTGATATTTTTTCCACTATTCATCTATTGCGTTGAAAAACATGTCTGTGTCCTCATCGCTCTGTGTTATTTTTGCTGTCTCATTCTTGTTTATTATTTGTTTATTAATTTGAGTTCCTGGTCTCCATAATGGCAGTGTTGCCACCTTAGACGGGTCAACTCTTTCTTCTTCCGTCTCTTCTTGTTCTGGTTCTCCTATTTCTTCTTCCTCCTCCGTGGAATAATCAATTGTATTATTCTCGTAATATTTCTTTAACCTATTGACGTACACTACCTGTCTATTTTTTTCCCTTTTTTGTACCTACTGCATACGTCACTGGTCCAACTTTTTCTATAATTTGAAATGGTCTGGATAGTACCATTTTTTTGTAACTTCTTTGAAAGACTTGTCGTGCTACTTAAGTCTCTCAAATATACCTTGTCTCTATCTTTAAATTCTCTCAAGTTCAAATTTTATATATTTATATTCTCCTGTGTTTTTCTATACACTATTTTCATTTTTCATCCATGTCCGTGTCCATGGGTTCCTATATTATTCTCCTGTTTTTCTTCTCACATTTTTCATTTTTCATCCATGTCCCTGTCCATGGGTTTCCTATTTCCATATTTTCCTATAACTTTTCTCATTTTTTTGCTCTCATGCTCGTGCCCCTGGCAGTCGTCGCATCCCTTCACATGTCACATATTTCCAACATTTCTTCCTAATTCGCTCCAGAAATAATATTCTCTTATATTTCTGTACTATATTGAGTGCTATGCCCCTGGCAGTCGTCGCATCTCTTCACATTTCACATATGTCCCAACATTTCTTCCTAATTCGTTCCAGAAATAATATTCTCCTTGTATTTCTGTACTATATATCCTATTTATTCTTCCATATCCTTCCTGTAACATGTGGAAGGTATTAATTATAACTCTTCTTTTTCTTCACTTTTCCATTTACTTCATTAACGAAAATCACAATTCCAGATTCGTTTCGCATTTTTATTACATCCTGTAGATACTGTATTGTCGTGCTGGAGCCGCGGGACTCTTAGCGGGTTGGGATTCTAGTACCACCCTAGCTTATCCCCTTAGCAGCCTCCTACTTGACGTAAGTTTCACCCCTTAAGGTCGAACCATATACAGCTTGCCCACATTCCTGTAAAAAATTATACTTCTGGCACTGTATTCACCTTCGCATGCTGTGTGAGATATGCCTCTATTTCTGTGGCATCCCACCTGTGTCCACTAAATTATTCCTTCTTATTTATGGTTCTGCTTCTTTGTCTCAAGCAAAGAAACTGGCTTAAACTCTTCTACATTCAGAGTACGTTCCATAAATACATAAATAAAGTTCCATAATGTTACTTTAACGATAGTAACTAACTATGAATTTTCCGTCTCCAGCGAGTCCTTGCCTTAGCAACGATTCAGTGCTTCAGTGTAGGCCCTTCGGTCTTCCTGTCCAATTTGCACTTTCCCCTGGTACATAAACTGTAGCAAGTTACTTTAAACGATAGTAACTATTATAACTTTTCCATCTCCAGCGAGTCCTTGCCTTAGCAACGATTCAGTGCTTCAGTGAAGGCCCTTAGGTCTTCCTGTCCAATTTGCACTTTTCCCTGGTGCATAAATTGTAGCAAGTCTCCTCGTTTCTCGCAAGTCACGTTTGTCAAAATCACTATAGGACGTTGACAACGATTCGACTGAAATTTTCTTTAATTATAAAGAACCACTTTACGTGCTTCTATGCATTTTTCATGCGATGCATCCATTCCCGAACTTATATGTTCGTGGAAATCATTCCAAAATAGTGAAAAAGATTTTCTGACGCCACGGTCAATTATCTTCCAAAGCTCCATTAAATTCTTTTTCCTCTTTTATATGTCCATCTCAGTATGATGTGCCAATTTATGAAGTTAACCAACAATTGTATAAAGAATTAAATTTTTGTTAAATAAAAGAACTTAGAAATATACGCTGCCGAACTTAAAAACAAATCTGTATAAAATATTAAATAATCAAATCAATAATAATCGATCAATCAATCAATAGTTAAATATCAAATAAGGTGTTAGTATTAATTTTTTTTTGAAAAATTAAACTCTATTAAATTCTTTTTCCTTTTTACGAATTGAACGTTATTTATAAATCCAAATATCCCAATTTACTTTAGCAAAGTCATATCTAATTTTTCAGTGTATATTACTTGACCAAGCGCGTTTAATATTTTTCAAACACACGTCGAGCAAATAGTATCATATTTCACTTTCACTTGATACATTAAACAAAAGAATTTGATAATATTTATGTAAACCGTTAGTTAGTAAAACAATATTTAAAGAATTTATATTTTGCGCTTTTTGAAAGCAATAAACTCGTACACTCAAATGAACTTGATCTTGACCTACTAACTTAAATTCTTTATATTCAACTAGTTAGTAAACAATATATTTATTATTTCTTCGAATAATTATATCCAATTCATATAATCGACTGATAAATTACTAATCTCTGTTATGCCATATTGTATCATATGTTCTGTTAGACAGTATAGTTTATATTTTTAGTGCAATATTATGGTAATTAAAAAACAATTATATAGAGAACATCATATAATGTGTTAGTATGTATTTTTGCAAAAAATTTGTACTTGTCATCTCTTCACATATATCATAAAAGCAATTCACCTATCTTAATTTAGGATTCTAAGTCTCGGGAAGGAATTGATATGAGGTTATTTTCCAGTGATACAAGACAAAAAAAAAAAATCTACTATATACGAATAATTTGTGTAAAACCACTAACAAGTTTATATAACAAAGAGAGAAAAAGGATTTTCTTCCAGAAGAGGGAGTCCTGCACTCCACACAATATTTACTGGATACCTCACTGTTTCTTTAATCTGTTGTCGTCTTAGGAAAGAGAAGAAAAAAAATTGGAATGTCACTGGCGAAATGAAACGATGAAGGCTTCTTATAGCTACAAAACTTGCAAAAGTTTACAAGGATACTGAAGAAGTGACTTAATTATCCCTATTTACCGAAATTCCCCCAAACCGGGACCGCTGTCACCAATGTAAAAATTTGGGACAGATTTACGAGAAGTGGAGAGGGATTAAGGACTTCTATGTATAGGGTCCTGTAAAGACTGTCACCAAATGTAAAATACAATATTTCCTCAAGGAATGCTAACCCTGCGAGCGGCTGCAAGGAATACTGGTCACACTGGTCTGGAGGGCTGGCTCGTCTTCGTGGATTTACGAGAAGATAAGGGATTTCGGGATAGGGGTAAGAACTCCTCGGTCTCAGGTCCTGTAAAGAGTAGAGGTTATGGGCTTACTTTGAAGCCGGAGATATGTATACGCAGAATTCTCGTGTTCTCCTAGTCTCTAGTGAGTCGGACGAAGGAACATTAAAAAAAAACCATATTAGAGTCAACAATATATTGAATCTACCCTGAAGTTCCTAATACAATCGTTAACACGTTATTCTGCGCGTCGGGAGACGATGTAGCAAGATAGTGAAAAGTTGACAGAGGTACAAATATAATTACACAGGTTAGTATAAGAAATCTGTTACCTTATGTGTATATTAGGGCTTCAACCACGACACGTTCAGTCTTCTGGAACTCGGTCAGTTGAGGGTTGCGAACTTTCGAGCTGCCACAATAACCGGACTACACGCGAATTCTGACAGAAGATACCCGGCCCCCGGAAAATCACCGACTGTCTCGCGTACTGGACGCTATCGCGTCCGGCGATCACTGCCCTGGGCGGGCAGTTACGGCGCCCCCGTTATCACTACTGCTCGACTGACTACTAACTACTGACTACTCATTACTAACTGCCGGCGTCCGTCGTTTCTTCTTGTTTTATTGTGGTCGTACTTTCAACGCCGGTTCTAGTACCAAGGTCGTAGGTTCGCTGAGTTGCAGTTTTGGTATTATTGCTGCCTATTTGGGTCACGGATGTTTCGTGCTTTTTATACGTTTAAACAATTATCAAACAATGCAATAACTAGGTCAATTGTTATACTTTGTATAATTTAAATGTATAAGTTAACTGTATTAATTATCCCTTATTTAATTTGGAATATATAATAATTATCTCGAATAATTATTATCTATTTCTATGCTACTTATTATTCCATTATCCCTTTATTCCAACTTCTCACTCACTTGCTACGCTTACATTACACTCTTTAAGATTAATATTCTATATTTTACGTATGATTTTTTTTCAATAAAGTTTGGTTTCGTGTAAACGTCTACCATCTATTCTACTTGTTTCCATTTTTTTATCGATTTTTGACACTCCATTAAAGGGTCCCTATAGAATTTTCATTAGTAGGACCTAGTTTTTAAAACCAATAACATGAAATTTTAATTTTGAGTTTTGTCAACAAATATAAGTCTTTTTAAATATGTCCAAAAAACGCTGAATTTAAACTTTCATATTACAAACGATTTCACTTCACAGGAAAAACTTCTACGAAGACGGCATTAGGTGGAATTTGTGGCTAAAGTTGTGTAATTTTAAAAAATGTGCTTGTGCATTCAAAAAGAAGGCGTTTTAAATGTTGTAAGTCGTTGATAATGTGAAAGTTGTAAATTTAGTTTTTTTTATATTTTAAAGGCTTTATATTTGACTCCCAACATTTGAAACAAATCTTACAACTGGCAGTAAAAAATGTGACACAAAGATGGGCCGTACATAAATACTATATTCTCAACATTAAGGTCTATAAAAGGACCGGCCTAACGTACAACGTTTGACAAATTAATCCAACATAACTCTTTAAACCCTTCTCTAATCCTAATTTAAATTTTCATAGGAATTAGAATTAATTACTCAGAATAAATAGGGTATTTATATGAGTTTTACCCGAGCAATGTTGATTCACCTAATTAAAAATCAATGAATATTCATAAAATGATACTTTGCGTAATCACATAAATCTCATATCCGAACTAATTATGTCCTTTTAAATTGGTTTTAATTTGGGTACAGAAAATGCAGAAATAATATGTATATATATATATGTATATATATATATATATATATATATATATATTATATATATATACAGCGAACTAAATAAAACTCCTGACACACTTTGAAGAAGTAATCAGTAATGAAGAAGATGTACCAAAAGTCCTTCCGGAAGAAGTAGAATCGATAATTCCAAAAATAAAAAGCGTATAAACAGCTGGATTAGATGGTATAACAGTGGAACTGTTTAAATACGCTGTTGAACTGCCTAAGATCGAGATGTATACTAGACCATTTCTTCTTTTGGTGCCTTTCTCTATGGATGTTGGCAATCACGTTGCTCCATAAAGACTTTGTTGACAGCTGCTCTAAATAGACGTATGGTAGCCATTCCTGTCCACTGTCTGATGTTCTTTAATCCCGATGTCCTACTGCGCCATTGAGATCTTTTGCCTTCCATCTGGCTTGTAAAATTAAGAAAAAAACTGCAAAAGCCATAAAAATATAGTAAAAAATGTCCCCTCGCTTAATCAGTTTTTATAAAATTTGTTATTCGCGCTATTATCTTGTCTGTAGGATAATAATATCGCAGTTTTCTGTTAATTAAACCATATTTCGTCTTAGTTATCGCACATACAGTTAAGTACTTGCCGACCAACATATCAAAGTAATGTTTAAACTCAGTTTTCAAAAAAGTTGTAACGAAACTGTTTATAAATCAATTTGGATCAAATAAAATTTTGTGTCCATCGTTGTAATTTTTTGATTTTAAGTAACCCCAGAGGAAAAATCAAGTGGTGTAAGATTTGGAGATCATTGCCTCGTAAAATGCCAGAGATCCAATCCAACTGATTGTGTGCCTGAGTTATCCAGTGAGCATTTTCTTTACTCTATTTTCTGCAGTTTTGTCAATTCAATTTTTCATCTAAACCGAAGATTGCTTTATTAAAAAAAGATTTAACGAATAAAATGTGAATATTGATTACATATATGTTGCACTGCATCTAGAAACTATATTCGGCAATCTGGATTATCCTCCTGGACATAATAAATATTATGCGGATGATATTTCTCTTTTTTAAGTACACTTAAAACATACTATGCTTGAAGAAATAAGAGAGAAAGGGGAGGTAATGGGGCTAAGATTAAATCAAGAAAAGACAAAAATATTAAGATTAGGGAAAAAACCAATGAAGGAAAAAATCAAAATAGGAAGTTCCGAGTTGGAAGAAGGAGAATACTTCAAATACCTAGGAGTTACAATAAGTAAATCCGGAGCAAAAATAAAAGCAAAACACTGATTAAAAAAAGCAAGATGAGCATTTATAACACCATAATTAGACCAATATTATTATACGCAGGGGAAACAATGACGATGGTTAGAAAAGATGAAGAAGACTTAAGAATTGCAGAGAGAAAGATTATGAGAACCATACTAAGAACAATCAGAACAGATCAAAATGAATATAGAAGCAGAACAAATGCAGAAATTAAGGAAGAACTTAAGGAAGACATCGTAACTAAAATAAAGCAATGCAGTGTTAGATGGTTAGGTCACATTTGGCGAGCAGGCGATGAGGCAGTGACATACGCAATGATAGAATGGAATCCAGGAGGAAGAAAGAGAAGGGGAAGACCGAGATAAAAGTGGCTGCAAGAAGTTGAAGAAGACCTCCAAAGGGCAGGAGTCAGTGAATGGAGAGGAAGAACTAGAGACAAGAAAAAATGAAAAGATATTGTCAAGAAGATAAGATAAACAAAAAAAGACTGATCCACTTAAAAAATAGGATCTAGAAAGCATTTGGGTTTAACCCCACGCTGGGGTATATAGCCATATATATATATATATATATATATATATAATATATATATATATATATATATATATATATATAAAACATACTGTTTACAATGTTTATATTAGCTGTAATTAGCCTAAGCCAAAGTCTTTAATCGGGTACCAATTTAACTGTTTCTTTTGTTTCAGAATCGTCAACAGAACCAAATACCTATGACACAAAAGGTAAGCAGACATCATTAGATCCTGCAAATCTATACCAACCAGATGATCCTGACATCGACCCATACCAAAGAGCTACATCGCTGCCTTACGATAAAATGTTATTTTCTCTTCCATCACAATTAACCACAGGATCATTAGACTACTTCTCGGATACAATCTACAGCACCGAAACAACGTTTACTATGAGTGACAGTGCGGTTTTTATAGACAAAAGCGTGAATAGTTCGAAAGGACTTCAAGAGTATCCGTGGCCGGTCAAGCGCGAAGCCGTAGTCGAAGGTGATTTGGTTATTGGTGGTCTGATGATGGTCCACGAAAGAGAAGATAGCATAACATGCGGACCAATTATGCCTCAAGGTGGTATACAAGCTTTGGAAACTATGTTGTATACGATTGATCAAATAAACGCGAATAAACTGATAGTGTTACCGAATATTACTCTCGGTGCTCATGTGCTGGACGATTGTGATAAAGATACGTATGGACTGGAAATGGCAGTTGATTTTATAAAAGGTAAGTGTAGGATTTGTAGTTAAATATAATTTGAATTCTAGGTGGTGTATTAATATAAAAAAATCACTTAAACTAAAACGGTATTGATGAAAAAGACATGTATAATACCTAAAAAAAGAAAACTAAAGTAGTGCATAAGTCTTAACGTTGAATTTACGAGAATGGATGTATGTCTTCCTATCATTATCATCTAGTTTTAAAAGTCCACTGCAGAACATAGGCCTCTTCGTCGTGTTTCCAACTCCCTTTATCTTGCGCCCCTCTAATCCAATTGTCTGCACCACTCTGTGCAGACAATTTGCACAACATAATACTTGTCGAAACTAATTACTAGTGTAATTAGTTTCGTTTTATTCTGTGTTTAGATGTGATATTATATTATACCAAGGTGAACAATATAATATCATGTATGTATATAAGGCGCAAGAATGTTTGAATAAGTAAATACCACTAGCATGTAAAGTTAGTCGACATTTAAGTGAAGGCCCATTTTTATTATGGAAAGAAGTTGATAAATCTTCTAAAGACCGTACCAATGTGTGTCCGGTTCATGATGCCCTGGAGTGTATTGGATTTAGGGTGGAAGGCTCCATCTGAATGCAATCCTCCCCTAAGAGTCTCGCAGATGCAATCATAGCTCCCTGCCTACCAACTTAAGTCCACCCCCTGAATCGGACTACTCATACGGTGGGATATTGTCTAGATTCTAGATCGATGCCTCAAATAAATGTTCTTTCTTTTTACCCTTCCTCTCTCTCTCTCTATCTCTCTCTCTCTCTCTTTCTCTCTCTTTTTCTCTCTCTCTCTCTTGCCTTTGCTGCAGAGTCCTCTGTAGTATTTCTTTCTTTCTGATGATTTGTGTTACTGCCTCCAGTATTTGGTCTTTCCCCTCATTCCTACCTGCATTGTTATATTTGCGCTTACCCTACCTACCTTTTTGTGTAACTCATTTCTGTCGTAATTAAAAATTGTACACTCGAATACATAGTGCTTGGCCGTATCAGATACGCTACATTCTGAGCAGTTCACTATTCTCTGTAGGTAGGCCCTGAAAGAGTCATAGCATTAGAAACTAGGTGAATAAGTAGTTAGTGTCTCTGTTGCCGCATTTCATTCAGTTTGCAATGGAATTTATTTTTATTCAGATCGCTCTATGTTCGCTTGTTTTTTCTTTGTGCCACTGCGTTATGCTGTGATTCCTAGCTACTATTAATCTTCTGTTATCTACTGTTTATCCTTCCCGTAGATTTTCATCCTTTCCTTTACCAACAGGTGAATTAACTACGATCATTTGTATGGACACTGTTAAAGTTGTTCTCTATGCACGTGCTACTGTTAACAGTAATTATTTTGCGCTTTTTCTAACATTATCTTTTATTTTTTGATGTTAAGTACTTGTTGCCATACCGGTGCCGCATAGACCATAACTTCCATTAAAATTCTCCCTTTGGCATTCCTTGTTAGCGCCAGTTCTCTTTTTTGCCTTGCGAAGGACGTACTTCACGGGCTCACGGATTGACCAGTTTTTATTGTTTTCCATCAGCACACCAGGTCATACTCATACGTTATTGCCTGTACACCAATGGTTAGGTGAGAATGTATAATCTAGTTATAAATATTATTCTAAAGCAATGGTCCCAGATGTGTATAATGCTACATGAACTTTAGTTAGTATGTGCCAGTATGGGTCTTAAAATAAAAATCTTTACAACAAAATTCATGACAAACCTAGTATCTAGCGAAAATATCAATATTGGAAACAATAACCAAACATGCGAACTACGAAGAAGAATAAACCTAGCATGAGCAGCCTATGGAAATTTAAAGATATCTTTAAAAGCAAAATACCAATTACTTTAAAACGTATGGAATAATCCAAACAACAAAGACTTCAATCCATCCTACTTCAAATCAAAGCATAAAAATTGCCATTTGTACTGATTCTCTTTTCTCGATTCATTCCATAAGATGCATTTTCTCGAAAAACCCACTAGTCCAGAAAATCCACACCATGTGTAACCTATCATATATTATTCTTCCAACATAAAAGTCATAATGATCTGGACTCCATCTCATGTTAGTATATTGGGAAACGAAAAAGCAGACCAACACGCTAAAGCAGCATGTTCTTCCTACTTCGCCTCAAAAAGAGTCCAAATCCATACGGATCTTAAAAAATTGAGAAAACAAAAAATCCTTAGTTCATAGGTGGACCTGTGGAGTAAAACAAAAACTAAGCTGCATGACGTTCAACCCAACTTATCTCGCGTCAATATCTCCTCTATGAACAGGAAAGAAAAATCAATTATTTACCGACTATGAATAGGGCATACAGGTTTCACGCATGGATACCTGATGGCATCAGAAAATCCTCCAGTATGCCACTACTGTAATAGTCTCCATTCCATCAAACACGTGATAGTTGACTGTTGCCAGTGTGATTCTATGATCTAAAAAACATTCTTAGTGTTCCAAACAGTTTTGACAGTGTTCTTAAATTTTTAAAAGAAACAAGTTTAATTCAGCTAACATAAACAGTGCATAGTGACAAGCTTTACTGTTTTAACTTTTCCACAAAAAATATATCAAAATCTTGGGTATGAAATATGTATAATGTTGTAAACTCGTGTCAATGACCATAAGCTGTCGAGACACGTTAATTTTAAATAATAAAAAAAAACATTTGAATAATGTGTACCTATTCCAAAATACCTATTATAATACAAAACATTATTTATTTACTGCCATATTATGTTGATAATACCGTATTTTTTAAAACCTAAATATACAACATTATTTAAAAAACAACTGAAATTAAAAACTAAATTTAAGGACGACAGTTATATTTTTATATTACTGAGAATATTTTTTAATCTATATTTTACTGTTATCTGAGTATAATCGTGCCAAATAACAGAGTATTAGAGGATTTACTAATTCGGAGCGAAAACATCGCATTTAAAAATAAGCGATTAAAGAAAAATGTCCATTTCGCATAATTTCGGATTTCGGACTCTACTCCGATTTTTATGGAAATTTGTTCAAGGATTTGTGTAAAGCCCCAAAAACCAAATTTGGAACTTTTCCTGCTTTCGCTAAAAAAGTAAAAAACGTTTTAATATTCACGTTTGATATAATCTTCTATATATAAACCTCTTACTGACCAAAACAATTATAATATAGGTTTTTTGCTAATCATTCAGCCATAATAAAATATTGTTTCCATAACCGAGTAAAAGATACAATAAAAAACTTTAGTAAAGTGCTTTTACAAATAAATTTAATTATATTCTTCTTTTTCTTCTTCGTCTAGCCATTCACGTCCACATCTGAACATAAGCCTCTTCAAGTCTTCCTTTCCATTGGTTTTTATTGTACGCTACTTGTAGCCAATTTTTCCCGGCAGTCCTTTTCAGATCATCTGTCCATCTCATAGGAGGTCTGCCTCTGGGTCTTTTGTGTTGGTATGGTCTCCAGGTTAAAATTGATCTGTGCCATTTGTTTAGATCGCTCCTAGCTACATGTCCAGCGTATTCCCATTTCAGCTTTAATGCTTTTTGCACCACATCGGTGACTTTGGTTTTCTGTCTTATCCATGTGTTTGTTTTCTTGTCCTTAAGTGATATACCTAGCAGTGCTCTTTCCATCGCGTGTTGAGTGACTCTAAGTATATTCATATTCTTTTTTGTGATTGTCCATGTTTGTGCTGCATAAGTTAATATCGGAATAATGCATGCATCAAACACTTTAGATCTAAGATGTAATTGAATTTGTTGATTTCTGAGTATACAGTTCAATTTACCGAATGCTGCCCAAGCTAACTTTCTTCTTCTTCTTTTTTTGTCCCAAGTATATATATTCTTCAACTTTTTCTATAACTTTATCGTTTATTATTGTCACGGTGTCTTCGGAATGCATGACTTTTGTTTTGTTTAAATTCATTTTCAGTCCTATTTTAGAAGATTCGGTATGAAGTTCTACAAGCATGGTTTGCATTTCTTGTAAGTCAGTAGCTATCAGGATTATGTCATCTGCAAATCGAAGATTACTGAGGTAGCGGCCATTGATGTTTATTCCCTTATATTTACAATTTAGGTTTTTAAAAACGTCCTCCAAAACTAAGGTGAACAGTTTGGGTGATAAAGTATCTCCCTGTTTGACTCCCCTGTTTAATGGTACAGGGTTCGTGTGTTCATTTTCATTTAGGTAGTATGTAGCTGTAGCTTGATTCATAGTTTCTTTTATTAAGTTAATATATCTGCTGTCTATTCTACAATTTTGCATTGCGTTTATTACGGCTGTGTGTTCTATGGTATCGAAAGCTTTTTCGTAGTCTACAAATGCAAGAAAAACTGGAAACTTGTATTCGTTACATTTTTCTATTAATATTTTTGTGGTTAACAGGTGATCGGAAGTTGAATAGCCTTTTCTAAAACCTGCCTATTCATATGGTTGGTATTCGTCTAATTTCCTTATTAGTCGAGTAGTTATGACTTTGGTGAGTATTTTAAACAGGTGTGACAGTAGGCTGATGGGTCTGTAGTTTTCCAATTTTCGACTATCACCTTTCTTGTGCAATAAGATTACATTAGAGTTGTTCCAGCTCTTAGGGACTTTGCCCTGATGTAAACAACTGTCCACAAGCTTAGTTACAATTGCAATTAGTTCCTTACCTCCTTCTAATATCATATCTGTGGTAATACTATCTTCTCCTGCAGCTTTATTTCTCTTCATGTTTTCCAATGCTGTAGTTACCTCTGAAATTGTTACTTTTGGCATTATTTCTGATCCAACATTTTTTATTAATTTCCGTGCTGGTCTCATCTCATCATCTTGTTGATGTGATCTGTAAAGTTCTGTGTAAAATTCTTCTATTCGTGTCAGTATGTTTTTCTCTACTTGTGATTTC